CTTCAATGTTTATACTTAGGTAGTTTATAATATTTTTAAAAAGCATAATCACATAGACAAAAATGCTGCTTATAACCATGATTTAGTTAATTTGGGGAATCTGAATTGCTGGATGTAGGAGAATATAGCCAACTTATTAACCTAATACTAATGATGGTTTTATAGTAACTGGAAGTCACAGTGTTAGAAAAATAATAAAATAATAAACTTTTAAAAAACAAACCTACAAGCCTGAGCTATAAAATTATTGCAAGCCTCTCAAAACATGCAATATGTTCACCATGTAAGCATAATGTAGTAAAATTTCAATGAACTGAACCTAAAGTGCTGGATCCCTCAACTAATAGTATTTTTAGTATTTTATTTTTTAGGAAGAGGGCATAAGAAAGCAAAAAATTCAGACCATGTTAGAATACTCCAAAAAGTGTATTCCAGCATACATCTAGAGATGAGAATACATTCCGAGTAGTCTCCCAAGCTTCTGCGTTGATTCTGCTCTGTGTTAAAGACATAAGCTTTAAAGGCAGGAGAGTGATTTAATGCATTTCAGAAGAACTTTGAATAACATTTTTGAAACAAAAAGGGATTTTCCACGTTAGCCACAGCTGACCACAAAATACAATTTAATGACTTGCCCCACTTCCTAAATATCTTGGTTAAGGCTTAATCTTTGCAGCTGGTGGAGCATTTTGCCATATTGTAGTTTGTGCATCTCATCCCTTTTTGGACAATATACTCACTTAGAAACAATCCCAGTCTCATTGCTTCTGTTGCACGAGGTCTTCCGATGATCAACTGCATAGTAGGGTGACTCACATCTTACCAACTCAATATAAGCAGCTGAGAGAACACAGTGCCAGTATATACCCAGTAATTCACTGCATGGTGGTTTCTCTGAAATCTTCTTAATGGAATGCACCTCACACAGGCATAGGCACACATTATGCACTCCACACACACTCCACTCACTACACAGGGAGACTATAACTCTTACACTTTCATTTATATCCAAACCACGTGATCTGGGTAATTTTGACACTTCTGGTTTGTTTTGAAATCCTGGTTGCACTTTATGTTTTCTGTTGAAAATTATATTTTATTTAATATTTGATGAGAGGTTGAATTGTCTGCTTCATTTTCTCTTCTGAGTCCTTGCATGATGCCGGCAGTCAAGTCACAGGTGCGCTTTGGAAAGCTTACCTTCACTGCTTAGTCATGTTGTTGCTAAGCAAGCCAAAACTTCCTCCCATCCCGAGAGGCTCATTCTTCTCAAGTTCTCTTTTCTTTCTAAGGATACCAGGACAGGATGAGTAAAGTGAACTTAATTTCTAAGTACGTGAATTTTTAGTGTTATCCATTTCCAGAAACATTTATTACAATACTTAGATTGTAGGATCTCTTCTGTATTAGTCCATCCTTGTGCTGCTAGTAAAAACATACCTGGCTGGGCGCAGTGGCTCACGCCTGTAATCCCAGCACTTTGGGAGGCCGAGGCGGGTGGATCACAAGGTCAGGAGATCAAGACCATCCTGGCAAACACGGTGAAACCTCGTCTCTACTAAAAATACAAAAAATTAGCCAGGTGTTGTGGTGGGTGCCTGTAGTCCCAGTTACTCAGGAGGCAGGAGAATGGTGGGAACCCGGGAGGCAGAACCTGCAGTAAGCCGAGATCAACACTGCACTCCGGCCTGGACAACAGAGCGAGACTCCAAAACAAACAAACAAACAAACAAACAAAAACACACCCAAGACTGGGTAATTTATAATGAAAAAAGAGGTTTAATGAATGGACTCACAGTTCCACATGGCTGGGGAAGCCTCACAATCATGGTGAAAGTTGAAAGAGGAGCAAAGTCATGTCTTACGTGGTAGCAGGCAAGAGGACATGTGCAGGGCAACTCCCCTTTTTAAAACCATCAGATCTCATGAGACTTATTTACTATCATGAGAACAGCATGGGAAAATCCTGCTCCCGTGATTCAGTTACCTCCCACCAGGTACCTCCCATGACACGTGGGGATTATGGGAGCTATAATTCAAGATGAGATTTGGATTGGAACACAACCAAACCATATCACCCTCTAATACATATAATCTAACAGAGACCTGGAAGAATATTCAGTTGGTCATACACACTGACACATACATTTCTATTTTAGTCTGATAGAAGCCAATACTCAGGAACTCTGGGTTTTAATTTGTAAACCTGTGTGATCTTGGGTTTTGGAAGCACTTAGACTTTCTGCTACTACATCACTTGACCCTGGGACCAAAGGCAGTAGGAATAGGCTGTGGACGCAAGCCACAAAGAGCTCCATGGAGAGAGTAAAACTCTGACATCTGCATCAGATGTAGGACTGAGTAACTGTAGGACTCTGTAGGACTACAGATGTAGGACTCTGTAGGACCATGAAAAGATGCACAGAAGGATTAATCAACTCAACTTGAACAGTTAGAAAAGGTGACACTGAGAAAGTATCATCTATTCTAGAAAATGGACAGGAATTATTGAGGTAAGAATGAAGGAGATGGGAGTGAGACAATGTCCCTAATAAAGCCATGGCTTATGCAAGTGACCTCAGAAGTAGGGAGAGTATGTATAATTCAGTCTGACTGAAGATTAAATTGCAAGGAAGTAGGAGATGGTCAAGGGGTAAGACTAGAAAAGTAAACAGTAGCACTCAGCAGTGTTATTTATTTTATTCCCTGAAGTCTAACTGTGGGCCGCCATAGTTTCCTCAGTATGGAGTAGAGTCACAAGATACATGCAAGAAACTGTGAGAAGAGGATGTCAACTAATACCTAAAAATATTCTTTCTCATAAATCAGTAGACAAGTGTCCAAAACAGCTAGAAGCATAGTTTTTCAGTGAAGGTCTTAGAGTATAATAGGAGATTAAGTGGTGATATCTTGTTTTATCACGGTTTTCCCCGCCCAGTGTAACTAAGAATTCTTTCTTTGCATTTTGGACAAAGGCTGCTCTGATGCAAATCATCAGAGTGAGAGGGAGGTGATAAAAACACATGCCAAGAAAGACTGCATTTACGCCTTTTACCTGTGACAGAACAGAAGCCCACGCCATGCTTTTACCACAGAAAGGAAAAACAGAAAGTAGATTTCTGCACCAGCCTCTTATTAGTCCATGAAACAGGAAGGGAATGGGGTACAGGAGGATGACTTCTTGCATTTTAAAGCACAGTAAACTTGTTCACAAAAAAAAAAAAATTGAAAAAAAAAGTAAACGAATAAGAAAATCAATGAGTGAATGAAAAAAGTATTAAATTGAGTAAGTAAAAGGAAAGGAAAATGAGGAAAATGAAATTTGGAGCTCTTAAGACATAAGAACATATTTGGCTAGAAATTTCATTGGCTGCGATTCAGATTTATAAATTGTTAAACATACCTCATTATAAGCCTGTTTAGATCAAATAAAATCATATATTTGAAAGCATATTATAAGCTGTACATGTGATAAAAAGAAAGTTATTACTATCTACTTTTAGTAGAGTTACCATAGGCTAATTGCATAAATTTCAAAAAGATGGAAAGACCATCTCAAAATGTAAGTATATGTGGAGTGTCTGATGTGCCTCATTTGCTACCGGGCATAGAACACTTTCAAAACACAGAACTTAGGAAGGAAGGTAATAGGGGTAGTTTCTCTGTCAAGCAAGACTTTCCACCAGATCAACAAATGAATTCAGTCACCCAAAGGAGCAGAAATGTCACAGTTGAAATTTTCAAACCAGTCAATGACCCTTAATATTTACAAATGGCTGTGCACCCAGGAATTAACACACTTAACTTTTTCCTGTTACGTCTATAGCAGACATGTACCCAGATTAAGGCTGTGCCCAGCCATCTGTTAGGGGAAATAAATGCCTGTATGTTTTTTCCATCCCTTTCTCTTCCATTTCTCCTTTACTCTTTCTTTCTTAGTCTCATTCTAAAAAGGAATCTGAAATCCATGGTCACATACACAGAATGCAACAGAATAGAAATAAATAGATGACGAAATCAGTATAGGATCAAAATGAAGGTGAGAAAACCGGGTGACTCTAGGGATAGAAATGCAAGCCTCATTGATAGGTTGATATTTTAGTTCTGAGCAACCCAGGGACCTAATGAGGCAATATGATTGTTCCAAGATACACAATAACCATGAGATGAAAGCCAACCACATTTTTAGGAGAAACATTTCAAATATAAACAGTGTTGAAATATTTTCATTCATCACTCTACACAACTGTTGGGCCATTGCAATAGAAATTTCCAAGTTTCCCACCACATATTAGAGACAAATTCCAGTCTAAATTGAATCTTATGAATTGTTTTTCCTTCTTTGCTGATGTAATGCAAAACATAAGGCGCATTAATAGAGAATGACTCTCATTTTGCTAAGGAATATGTTTGTTACATCACTAATTTGAAGCACCTGTTTCTTTAATAGAGGGTGGAGCTTTTTTCTTTTTACTTTATTAAATATTTTCTGCCTGTCTCATGCATTATATACCTCCGTGATGAATCTGTTTTCATGCTGGGACCCTGCCTTAGTGGGGGTTAATTGATGAGGTCTATTCTTGTTTGGTTTATTGGCTTCTATGCTTACCCTCTTTTATTACCTAAATGTCAGCTCTTTATTGTTTCATCCACTTCCCAGCTGCTCTCAATATCCATGTAGGGGCCTGAGGGCTGGGCTGGGCTGAAACTCTCCCAAGTCTATGAGAAAGGGGTGGTGGTGGAGTCGGGGGGCGGTGCAATATAAACTAGACTCAGCTGAGCAGCATGCTTCGCATTATGTGGGAAATGAGTTAGTGCCTTCTGTGGACATCCCTCACGCTCCTTTCTGTGTGCACTAAATTCCTTAGGTTGATAGAGCCTTGTATACACCTTGGAGCTCCCCTCAAATATTGGTTCCTAAGGAGAATTTCACCTATCACCGTAACCAGCTGCCTGCCTCACTCCTGTGTATTAGAAAAAAAAGATTTGTATCTCGTAAACTTTGTCTTCATTTTTTATTGTTGCCATAACAGATTACTACAAGTTTAGTGGCTTAGAAAAACATCCGTTGCAGCACACCAACATGGCACAAGTATACATATGTAACAAACCTGCACATTATGCACATGTACCCTAGAACTCAAAGTATAATAAAAAAAAAAAAAAAAGAAAAACATCCGTTTATTATCTCACACTTCTGTGGGTTAGAAGTCCCACACAGATTTCGCCAGGCTAAAATCCAGGTGTCAGCAAAGCTGTGTCCCTGACTAGGGCTCTAGGAAAGAATCTGCTTCCAAGCTCACTGACGTTGGCAGAGTCTAATTCCTTGCAGTTATATGACTGAGATTCCATTTCTTTGCAGGCTGTCAACTGCAGGCCATCCTCAGTTTCCACAGGCCTCTCTTCAGTCTTTGCACGTGGCTTCCTCCATCTCAGAACCAGCAACAGTGCACCAAATCCTTCTTATGCTTGGAATCTCTCTGATTTCCCTTTCTGCTGCATCTCCTTCCTGCCTCCTCAAATTAAAAAAAAAAAAAAAAAAAAAAAAAAAAATTGCGATTAAAGTGGGCTAACTTGAATGATCTAAGATAATCTCCCTATGTTAAGGTCTGTAACTTTAATTAGACTTGCAATGTCATTTTTGCTGTTGAACAACATATTCACAGGTTTCTGGGATTAGGATATGGATGTCTTTGGGGGACCATTAGTCAGCCTAACACTTGCTCAGTTTGAAGCCTCTATGTAATTTCTGTTTGGGGTTTCTCAAGCTGCCTAGACTTTCAAGAGACTTTTTTCTGGCTTTCTACCTGTCAAGCCTCAATTAGACTGTATCTTAAAACCATTACCTATTTCCTGCAGGGTCTTCATTTACCTTATTTCCCTGTGTTTGTATGAGCAGCACCACCATCTCTCAGTGGCATATCAGTATCACTGCTACACCAGTTAAATGTTAACAAGTACCTATCCCCTCCCTACTCCTTCCCCAACCACCAAGCCAACACTCTTGATGTTTATTTTTAATAGAGAGGCTAGGAAAAACAAAACATCTTGGATTCACCTAAATAGCTATTATTTTCGTACACACAAAAGTCACATTACAGCCTATGGCTTTCTGCCATAGGCTTGGTATTATTACAAATACCAAGCTATATTTTTCTAGTACTCCCTAATATAACAGGAAAAGAGGCAATAAATCAGGAGTCTAAGAGCTCTGGACTTTTTTTTACAGGCTGTGTGTATTCTGAAAAGTTACAAAACATCTCAAGAAAACTCCATTTAGTCAGGCCAAGTGATAATTTGATAGAAAGATGAGACCTGAATGGTCTAAATCTATGCAAACTGCCAAACTAATGTAAAAATCATTTATCAGGTTTTATGAGATTTATGAAGTATAAATCTTTTGGGCTCTAGGTAGTTCTTAATGTGCATCTCACATTGTGTGCATATGAGAGAGTTTGAGTGATTATCTGTCAATGGAGAGCAGTAAGCTAATGACAGATGAGGAAGTAACCACTTAGATGACCTCTCCACAATCATTTCCACCTCCTGCTTTTTATGCCCTTGAGTGTGGGCCAAACTGAATGACTAGCTACTAATCAATTAAATACAGCACACCTGGTGGAAATTGCCATGGTTAGGTTACAAAAAGACTGCAGCTTCTGTCTCGGGCATTCTCTTGTTCTCTCTACCAGTGCTCTCTCTGTCCCTTTGGATGGTTCACTGTGGAGGAAGCCAAATGACATTTCCTGAAGCCTGCCTGTGGACAGGTCAATGTGAGAGAGTTTGGAAGAAGACGCACTCTCAATGTAACCTTGAGATGACTCTGGGTCTGGTCAACCACTTGGCTGCAACCTCATAAGAGGCTTTCAAAGATCTAGCTAAGACATGTCCATACCCCTAACCCACAGACACTGTAAAATAATAAACATTTGTTGTTTCAAGCTGCTAAGTTCGTAATTTTTTACACAGTAATTGATAATATGTATTACTAATTATAGATATGTAACAAATATATACTCACAGCGCAATTCAATCTTCAAAACCAACAATTTATGAACAGTTCCTAATAGTCTTTGTATCCAAAGCACTCTATTTAAAACAATGTGAATAAAAGAAAAATGATTATCTTAGTAAAAAAGATGACACATTCAGAATGAAGTAATTTCCAGGCTGGGTGTGGTGCCTCACACCTGTAATCCCAGCACTTTGGGAGGCTGAGGAAGGCTGATCATGAGGTCAGGAAATCGAGACCATCCTGGCTAACACAGTGAAACCCCGTCTCTACTAAAAACATAAAAAATTAGCTGGGCGTGGTGGCGGGCACCTGTAGTCCCAGCTACTCAGGAGGCTGAGGCAGGAGAATGGCATAAACCCGGGAGGCGGAGCTTGCAGTGAACCATGAACCATGATCGCACCACTACGCTACAGCCTGGGAGACAGTGCGAGACTCTGTCTCAAAAAAGAAAAAGAAGAGCAGAATGAGGTAGTTTCCATAATAAATAAAGTAGTATGCACTTGATCTAATCATATTTGACACATAATTATTTTGTTTTATGAGGTACAGGCTCTATAAGAAGTTTGAGTCTGCCACCAACACATGAACAAACATTATTTAGTAAACTGATATTAGCCATAACTCCATTCTAAAACAGCGGTGCGACTTTGCCTACGTGGTTTAATGCTACTACAGTCATTAAATCTAGTCATTCGTTCTTGTACTAGCACTGTATTTGCCGATTTCTTCTGGATGAAGCATCAAAACATCCTAGAAATTTAAAGGACTATGATATAAAGCACCATGTATAGCAATGAGGAATACAAAAAAATGAAGCCAGATGAGAAATCATGACACATGATTAAAATGTTTTTACTACAGTTTCCTTAGAGTTGGAATAGAGCCTACAAATTGGTAGGAAGTATACGGAGTCTCACAAATAGATTGAAATTATAAAAAAGCCACATAAATACAAATTTGAAATGTGAAAAATGTTAAAACCTAATTAATAGACAAAGAACTGTGAATTAACCAATAAAATATGTTTAAGGGGCACCTTATCAAGTTGGTAATGATAAAGAAGAAAACTAAATATTGGTGAAGCTGTAGTAACATGAATGCAGTAACAGGTTTCTTGGGAGCAAGGAATTTGTAGAGAGCTATCTGGCAACACGCATCAACTACCATAAAAAGTTGAACACTTTGATTCCTGATGCCCACATCTAGAAATGTTTTCTAATAAAATAATATGAGATGTAGTCAAACATTAATGTAGAGAGATATCACGGGAGTGTAAATTAATAATAAATAAAAGGAAGAAAGGAAGAAGCCATCTTAAAATCCATCCTGGGAATGACATAGCAAAACACGACAAAACCATACCATGAACAATACCAAAAACAAGCCACACATACACGAAAACTATGTAATCGTAATAGAAATAGTAATAGCCCATCTTAAAAACGATATAATATTTTAAAAGTCTATATGACAGAAATAATAATAGCATATAAAAATTTCTGTGGTGTGGTGGTGTGTGCCCTTAATCCTGTCTACTGAAGAGGCTGAGGCAGGAAGATTACTTAATCCTAGGACTTCAAGCCTGCAGTGAGCTATGATCATACTACTGCCCTCCAGTCTGAGTGACAGAGTGAGACCGATATCTAAAAACTGTTTGTAAAGTTTATGCCTTTTATAATGTTAAGTTAAAATGATAGCATATAAAAATATTAAACAAGATTTTAATTTTGTATTCAGTGAGATCCTAGAAATCTAATTTTTATATTTATATCATGCTATGTATATATCCTGAAAAACAATGTTTCCAGTAAATGAATGTAGATACATTTTTTCTCTCTTTCCTTTGACTCCATATCAGAAGATTTTAGGAAGAGAGCTCTTGGTGAATTTGTTACCTAGTTTGATTCTTACACATCTTTTTACTTCTCTGAAGTTGGTATCAGTCAAGACTTATAACAGTTACATTGTATCTGCATGCGCACAACCTCCTTAGATAAAATTTTTCACTACACTAATTTTTTAAAAGCTACAGTAGTTCCGAATATTATGATACATAATTTAATAGGGAAAGAAATGAAAATAAGCCATAAAATACATTCTTTAATTGTTGTTGTTGTTGTTGTTTTTTGAGATGGAGTCTCTTACTGTGGCCTGGGCTGGAGTGCAGTGGTGTGATCTCGGCTCACTGCAACCTCCCCCTCCCGAGTTCAAGAGATTCTCCTGCCTCAGTCCAAGTAGCTGGGATTACAGGCACATGCTACCATGCCCAGCTAATTTTTTGTATTTTTAATAGAAGTGGGGTTTCATCATGTTGGCCAGGCTGGTTCCGAACTCCTGACCTTGTGATTTGCCCGCCTCAGCCTCCCAAGGTGTTGGGATTACAGGCATGAGCCACTGCGCCCCACCACATCCTTCAATTTTTACAGGAAATGTATTAGGCAAAGAACTGGCTAAAAGTCATCTATGAAGCATTTTAATGAATTATGATTTGGGAGGAGGAAATAAGGTGTGGATTATTTGTTGCTTATAATGTATATAAAATGTATTAATATATGTTTGTGGATTGTTAGAGTAAAACTTACCCAGAAACCTTATTGCTACCTTCACCACTTTTGTCTCAGTGATAACTCTTGACTTTGCCCAAGAAAAATGTCGTTTTGAAATTCAAATTTCCAGTTCAATAGAAGTAAATAAATTCTTTAGCCACTGAATTTAAGAATCAGATGGAAGTGGCAGATAACACGATCCTGTCTTCATTTCTAGAAGGTTAGAATCAGTTCATTAACTTTGGATAATGTCTTTTCCTGTTCTAAGTAAGTGAAATATTAATGGAGAAAGAACAAGGCAGGTCTGTGCCAGATTTTCTCAAACAAGATATACAGACTGCCATTAGTAAGCATTAGTAAGTAGACACATGGCCTTCTATCACTTTGGGGGCCACTAAGAATTATAAAAGAATGAGATTATTATAATTGTTGGAAAGCAACAACAACAATAATAACTACTAAAAGTGGGATGACATTCTCAAGAAAAATGAAGAAAAAGGGGAAAGGAAGAGAGAGAATTTCATGTCTTTCAAAATGAAAACATGCAAGTGCTTCATGAAAGAATCAAAGTGGCCACAAAGGTATTTACTGATTTCCTTTCTGGTCAGGCCTTCTCATGAATGAATGAGGTCCTGATGAATTCACATTTAAGTGATGCCTTTTTTGGTTTTCTAAAACAAGGATGTTATCCATACAGATAGGGGTCATACTCAATAAAAAAGATTTTACTCTTTTAAAAATACAGGTTACTTGTGGGGATGAACATCCTAGGACACTGAAGAATGAAGAAATTCAGGATATATTCTGAGATGCACACATAATAATGTATTCTTACAAGTTATTCTAAGCATAAATCACACATTCACACAATTTAACTGTTGCACAGATCGTACACTACCTAACCTATTGTCTTTGTCCATTTTATGTTGCTGTAACAGAATACCACATAAACCAAAGAAGTTGATTTCTTACAGCTCTGGAGGCTGAGAAGTCCAAGGTCAACGGGCTTGCAGCTAGTGAGGATTTGGAGTGAAATCTTCTTGAAGGCACAGACTAGTTCATTCATTTTTGCATCCCTAATAGAACTTAACAGCTTGCATTATAATACCCTATGTCCAAACTGTTTATAATTACACAATAGATGATGGGACACCCTACATATGAAAGTCACTTATTTTGCCTTAGCTGCAGTTCATTCTTCCATCCAGGCACTCATCACATTATTTTGCAAATATCCCCTTATTTGTCTCTTTCTTCCCACTAGATTGGAAGCTTATTAAAAGCAAAAAGTCTCTCATCTTTGTCTTCCTAACACATAGCCCACAGCATCCTGCTAATTGCCTCCCAGTAAATATGTAATTAATGAATATTTGGAATCCATTTTTGTAGATTTCTTTATTTGTCAATGCTTTGCTTCCCAAATAAATCTTTTTATATCAACGTCCAAATTATTTTACAAAGTTGTCATTTCACTAATGTTCTTACTATAAAGCACAATGTTTCTACCTATACAATATTCAGTAAGTTTGGGTCAGGGTCATATGGATGTCAAGGCGTTATGAAAAATCCACACTTTATTTTTAGAGGCAGAGTCTCACTCTGTTCACTCAGGCAGGAGTGCAGTGGTGCAATCTTGGCTCACTGTAGCCTTGATTTTTTTAGTTCAACCAGTCCTGCCTCAGCCTCCCTAGTAGCTAGGACTACAGGCATGCACCACCATACTCTGCCAATGTATTCTATTTCATTTTTTGTAAAGATGGCACCTCACTATGTTGCTCAGGCTAGTCTAGAACTCCTGACCACAAGAAATCCTCTAGCCTCAGCCTCTCAAAGTGCTAGAGTTACATATATAAGCCACCAAGTCTGGCCCTGCACTATCCAATATGGTAGCCACTAGCCAAATACCGCTGTGTACATTTAGAATTAAATAAATTCAATTTAAAATTCTGTTCCTCAGTCACACATTTCAAGTGCTCAATAGCCACGTGTAACTAGTGGCTTCTCTATTTCGATGGCATAGGTTATAGAACATTTCCCCCATAGAATAGGCAGAAGGTTCTATTGGAAAGTACTATCATGGCATAGAACTTTAGAGAAACTCCCAGCTTTGTTTCTTTGTGTGTTTGTTTGTTTGTTTGTTTTTGAGACGGAGTCTTGCTTTGTCTCCAGGCTGGAGTGCAATGGCGCGATCTCAGCTCACTGAAACCTCCGTGTCCTGGGTTTAAGAGATTCTCCTGCCTCAGCCTCCCAAGTAGCTGAGACTACAGGTGCTTGCCACCATGCCCGGCTAGTTTTTTTTTTTTGGTTGGTTTTTTGTTTTTTGTTTTTTTTTTTGTATTTTAGTAAAGATGGGGTTTCACCATGCTAGCTCCCAGCTTTTACAGAGTGGACCGTTCAATTTTGAGGTGAGTCTGGGCATTGGTACTGCCAACTGACAACAATCCCCAAACAATAAACCTCTTTTGTCAACAAGGTGGCCAGTGAGTTTGCACAACTCAGTCCACTGCCCCCACCCTCCCTCAGAGATCTGATTCAAGAAGCCCCAGATGGGGGCAGAGGTGAGGTTTACAGCATTGAGAGCCTGCAGCAAATGGTTTTTACCTTCCTCGCTTTCTGG